CCCACCCCCCGTTCCCCCCGAGGACATGACCTCACTCGACCATCCCAGACCACAACCACTATACCTACGGCAGAATAAGGGAAATCACTATCACACACAAGGCAACAGACCAAACCAGAAGAAGACAAGTTGCAACAACATGCACACTAATACGGTGAATAAACTAATACGAACTAAGATGACAGCAATTTAACTCACTAATATTGTTGCCGATGTAAGAGGTGATAATTTTAAAAGATATACAAAGTCGTCCGCTATTTCTTTGGAGATAAATAAGTTGTATTTTACCTGCATTTCTTGCGCCAGAGTCCTAGCACCAAGTTTCTTTGAAATCTCAGCCTTTAAAACAAATCTCAATGCAGCACACGCATTGATATTTGGAAAACTCTACAGAGCCAAAATGTAGCGCATCAATAAAACCAAGAGAAGTAAAGAAAGTATAAAAAAAGTTCATCATGACTTTCACCTTTGTGATTAGTTGATCATTCAAATTGTTAGAGATGATTATGCTTGAGTTTGGACCAATAGTCAACTTCAAACTGGAGTTTTCAAACAAATAAAAACCTAAACATATCATGACATAGAGGTAGAACAAAACTTTATTCCAAAACCTTAATCATGAAAATAGGAGTAGGAAAATTGTCAGAGAAACCTTTGAACCAGCAAACCAAGATAGTTGAGGATGACAAATGGCCTCCTCACATTCTGAATGACACACATCTAAAAAATTAATAAACGGTGTATATTAGTGACAGAATAAAGTAGCTTGAAGCATATAACACAGGACAGAAGAGACCTGCATATCTTGCCGTAGGAATCTACAACACGATCTCCTCATTAGATGTTCTTTTACGGAAATGATGGTAGCGGCACAACTTGGTTCTCCCTCAAGTTTAAAGGAAGAACGCAAGGATCTAGCCAATTTTGCAACTTTTCTTTCTGAAACTTCCAAACCCTCCTTGATAGTGGCCACTTTATTATGAGGCTCCTGCATTACATAAACCATCTGTATCATACTAGATTAAATTGGCCATAGCAAGTATGATGAGTTGGACAAGCTCAGAGGAATATAGCATTATATATGTCAACAAACAACTTTGTCAACAAACAAAGTATACAAAGTTGTGTGCTAAAATCAAGCAAGTTATCTTTAATTTCTCTAACTTTTTAGTCCTCTAAAAAGAAGGCAAAAACATTTATTAAATGATTTCTGCATCATGAGCATTAAAAAAACATGTTTACATCCTTTCTCACAGACACATGCACGCGCATAAAGGATGATAAGTGTAAGACAATTATTCTAAATGTCTTCGGTATCCAAAGACAGAACCTGGACCGTGAGAAAACTTCATGAACATTAAAAGATATGAAGTGCCACTAACTCATTATTCTAGAAGCATGGTCACAAATAAAACAAGCTGTTGCATCTTGCCATCTTTCAGGTGTGCCACAATTAATTCTGATGAATAGACCTGAACTCCAGTCTGTACGAGATAAAGTAGTAGATTATGAATTTATGATGATTAGGGACCTGATGCCCTTACAACAGACAGAAGACAAACTTCAACCGGGAGGAAAAAGGAACTAAAACCCATAGTTGAGCCCACATAACTGTAGAGTAACCACTTAAAACTGACTGGGACAACTAAGAGCATTTTTCCTGTTAATAAAATGGATGTTGAGCTACAACTACAGAAAAGATAATAACTGACATGCAAAGTCTCAGACGAATGGCAACTGATCAATAAGTCAAGAAATCCAGTTACAAGTTCTTAGTCATGGACTCATGGACAAAGTCAGAAGTAATGTTTACAGTTAATGACATCCATACAATTTACAGTTAATGATAACAACAACAAATATAACCTAGCAACACCACCAAGTTTTCAGCTGAACAAGGAACACCAAGAATGGAGAACAAAAAACCGGTCCTGGCAAATAAAATGACAGATTGAAAAGGGAAGTCTTCCTATTAGTGTTATTCCTTTATTGAATATTTCCTTCCTCTTTTAGACGGAAAATACAATCAGCAAATGAAAATGTTATAGGAAATGATCGGCATGCCAAACAGCAGTATGTAATCAATACTTGATTTCTATAGAGTACCTCCTGCAGAGCCTTTTCACAGGCTAATGAGCTCTCACTAGAAATTGCATCACCCTGGGTGACTCCTGAGACAGTTAAAGAATGAAGCGAATGATTGATCTTTGACATTTGGGACTTCTGAATTCCAGAGTTCAACAGTTGACATTTTTCCTATATGCATGATGAATTATGTCAAAAGAATGACAAGGTGATCGTAGAAAGATAGATCGAGCATAAATAGTACCAGCAGTTTCTCCTTCTTCACACACCTCAAGTGATACTTTGCTTTCTCATGTACAAGCTGACATAACAACATTATTGCTTCTAAAGTTCTGCATTATCATCACATATAAGAGAGATAACAAACTTTTCAAGCACACAGGAATCTGATGTCAAAATGAAAATAACATCAATTATGTTGGCAAATAAAGGTGGAATGAGAATTTACCTTTTCTCCTGAAAACTGGTAACTAACGTTTTCTGAAAAGATGAGGAAATCAAGGTCAATAGCTACTTAAAACTTCCTGGGCATAAGAAGAATGCATTTAACATTTGATCTATTATTATTTTGCTTTTCATTAGTTCTGAAACATGAGCCAACGTATCCCCAAGCAAAGAAACCTGAGTGAGAATTTGACGGTGCAAAATGTCGTATATTTTTGCCTTCTGCATTCGGGTGACAATGTCTTCCACCATTTCAATCTACAACAATTTATTAAAAAACAATAAAGATGATAAGACAACATGAATCAAAATCTGGTTATTTTACATCTAGAAGTAAATTCTACCGACAGAAACATTTCTAAAGCATATCTTGAAGTGAAAAAAATATACCGCTGGCATAGTAAGCATGGTAAGTCTTCCTTTAGGCAAAGATATCCACTCATCTGCATCCTCCATACATTTGGATTTAATCTGCAAGATAAAGAGGAAGCTTTTTCATTTCCCGAACCCTTTTCTTCAGAAAGAGTGCCATCCAGGCAAGTAACATAGAAAGACCATAAAGCCATCTTACATCTTTCCATTGTCTGAGTTCAAGATGAGCTCTGAGCATTTCTTTTCCGCTATCATCAGGACGTCCCGAGATTGCTGGACTATTACCAACCCCTCTCTGGAGTTTCGAGCTACTTTGAGACATGATAATTTCATTTGTGTGTTCCATATCTCCATATGTCAACTCTTCACTGCATCTTTTATGGGCAGAAGAGTTTCTAGGTCTGCCAATTGATTGGTTGCATGTGGGAGATTGCACAGCTTCACCTACAGAGGAACATGTAGTGTTGGATTGTGCCAGCAAGTGAAACCCCTTTGCTGGTGGACTTCGTGAAGACCATTGTACAGGAGTCTGCAGAATATGGCTATATAAGTGAATATTGAATGCAAGTTGCGAATTTTCAAGCTAAAAAAGTGGCAAAGCAGGAATTCAGCAAGCGTGTGCATAAAAGCCACAATAAGGATTTGGAGTTAGAAAATTAAATGAAACACCAAATTCGTAATGGAAAAAGAAGAACCAGCTGTTTCCATGTTTCAATATCCAAAATTAACAAAAAAGGAAGAACAATTGCCAATGACAGTAGCTTTTTTAAGGAAAAAGGGGACAACACCACATTGATAGAAGTGAATCAAATGTAGGGAAAAATAACCTTAGGGAAGCAGTAAATAAGCAAATCATGGCTCATGCAGGACACAGGTTTAGCTGCATACCGACACCACAGCAAAGTAATTGATCGGTGTCAAACAACACATAAGGGAATGGAATGGTGTATTAACCTTTTCAACCACCAACGCTTCTACGTTCTGAATAGAGGAAGAAGCAGCGCCAGCTAAAGAAGACTTGTTTAGCTCTCGAGGATCAATTTCAAGTCTAGGGAGACCATTTGCACTCTGAATATTCCCATCTAATGTTGCTGAAGATAGATGAGAGCTCCCATCCCTGGAGATCTTCGAGTCCTTGGTGCTTTTCAGTACATTCATTTGATCAAGGAGCTTAGCTTCTATGCTATATGTCCCATCTGGTTGCCTTAACACTTTGCTTCCTTCGACAACTGGTGAACCAGACTGTTCTTCAGTTGATGTGGAGGACGAATGCCAATTGCCATCCGTTGCATTCGAAGAATGTCCATCTGTCACATTACCTATTGAAGATGCATTTTTCACTAGGCCTAAGCTCTTCATGGGTTCATCATGCAACTTTGATTCTTTAAAGGGGCTGGACTGATGTTCAGTCCATGTAGATGACTTTGACTGCAAGGATTTTTCTGGAGAAAAAACCAACTTTTGAGCAATAGCAGTCACTTTCTCCTGCCCTAGATAATCAACCAATGGGGAATCAGTTCTAGAAATCAGTGATATCTTCTGCCTGAGGTCATTTGGTGTAAAAGTGTCATTTGTCTTTCCTGACCAAGAAAACCTTGATGAAGCCAAAGGGGCTGTAGGCTTCAACACTTGATCCATGGGGAGAAAACCAGTATTTAGCCGATTGAGAGATTTCCCCTGCTTTTCAGGGCCCAGAGATTGTTCACATGGAATTACATCTTCGCCAGTTAAAAGAGTCTCACTCCTACTACCACCTGAGGTGAACATTCTTCTTTCTCCCTCCTTCGTAGAAGTACCTGAAAACTGCTCCTCTGTACAAGTCATAGAGGAATCCAGACATTTGACTCCCATTTGTAGGTTCCTTTTCTTCAATATAGAATCCAAAGGAGGTGTTCTTGGAAACTCTAAGGTTCTGATGTCAATATTGGGGATTCTGTCACCAAGGAGAGAAGATAGTCCAGAAGCCTTAAGTCTCTCAAGTTTGGAAATGTTCTTCTGGAGGGACGCTGAACTTGTCCAAGGTCCTCTCTTTTCATTGCTCAAAAAGGAAATGGGATCTTCAAGGAAAGACACCGCCATTGAATTCTGTTTGACAGGTGAAGGACTACCAATAACTATTAGTCTTTGCGTAGCGGGTGAAGAGGACACTAAATCAACCAACGGAGATTCCCTGCCACATGGGGACCCACAAAATTGACCAAGCTCACCATCATTACTACATAAGGTTTCACTAATTCCAACCTCAGAAGCATCCTTGACAGACTTATTATTTTCACCAACATCCTGCAATTTAAACTACAAAAAAACATGAAATCGGGGCATTGGGAAAAAGCAAAGTAGCTTAAGCCTAACTTCCTGACCCAGTAAAAATATTTATCATAACTATTTCACTGAAACAAATCATTCAGGGACATGGATCAAACATATCTGTTTCACAATTCAACGAGGAACTTAGCCCCAACGTGGCATTTACAGGATTTTAGAACAATGCATCCCTAAACAAGACACCAGCTACTTGCAATTCAACAAGGACTTTAGCCAAAATATGACATGTACAGGACTGTAGAACACAGCATCCTGATTCCTGAACAAGACACAAACTACCGATAGATGACGTTAATTGATTAAAGCCCCTTGGCAGAATTAAGCTAACAATACAGAAGCACAATGACCAGATATTATAAATGCATTTGAAGATACATGGCATTTACCATATGTAAAATATGATTGACACAAAAATCGCTGTAACCATGTTAAACTAGACGCAAGGTCAAATGCACCTTTCGATCTAAAAGAATTGGCAATGGCAAGTAAATGATCATATCTTATATTTGAAGTCACATCTTCTATCACCTACCTTATCATCAAATAAACTTAGCATGTAGAATCTCAAAGCAGGAAACACTAAGGACATGAACATAATGTCAAGTGGAAAATGATGAAGTATTTTACATAAATGTAAACAAAAGAACTGAGGTGTAGATAAGCCATACGATGTAGTGTACCAAGATGGTGTAAATAAGAGAGCACAACAGGTCATGGCTATTGATTATGCATTTATGCAACGGAATTAACATACCATAACTCGGTTACTTACTTTACTTGGCTGCTTCGGCGACTGATTTACTCTATCAACATAATTATCTGGAGCTGGAACAGTGGATATGGGCAACGTATCACCATCAATTGCACGAGAAAGAAACTTATTACCATCATCTGCGCCGTCGATTTTCTGGCACAAAGGTAGAAGTGGCATATTAAAACTAACAACTGCATTTGCTTCTTGTTCTCCATTTCCACCTAAATCCATCATTGCACTTCCAACCTTCATTTTCTTGCTTGCTGGTGACTCTAAAACACTAGTATCTCCTGAAACAGAAACTGCATGTTTTTCTTGGCCTTCTGCTAAAAGAGCTTCTAAATCAGGAGAGAGTCTCCCATAATCATATCTTCTCGAATTTTCTCCAATCAGACTCATGTCACTCGAATCACTAATGCCACTAAAATTGGCAACAGGCATAGAAGATTGAGAAATTAGCTTCTTGGACAGTGAGTTCCATGGAATTACCTAGACCGGTCTGTGTCGGTGTTTTCTCATCAAATGATACTTCTGTTGGGGTCTTCAAATCTATCCCTGAATCTGACCTAACAAATCTGCGGAAGTGCATGGAGAAAGCTGTTGAATCCATAGTAATATCATGATTTTCGTCTGACACTGCTGAATCTGATAGCCGGCCTGGCCTTATAAAATTGGGAGATACTGGGCCAAAAAAATTATCTTCTGCCAAAAAGAAAGGCCACATAGAATACTACTGTTACAAACTCTTAAGGGTTTAACATTCCTATCAAATCAACATAATTATGTCTAATGGAAGAGATCCCAGTAAACTGAAAATTTTAAACCAATAGAAAAAAAAGATGGTTTGTTTTCCATTTGTGATTCAATGACGACAAAGACCACAAATTCCTTCCAGATAACAAATCTATTATCATGTCACATGCAGAAGCAGCTATCCTGATATGCGATATCATAGAAGTCCTTTCACAAAATGTGGCCCAAGTCAGGACATTAAAGGATACAGATAACAGCTAAAAATAAAAAGGAGCCAAAATCCTAATTATCCAGTCTCTCAAAATAACAACAATTCAAGCCATAAAGACCATACATAACCTCTTCCTATCTCTAGCGCGAAGATGATCAATGCAAGGCGCATGTTGTAGTTGTACATTGTGCACCAAATGGAGTATCTACAAACAGGGGCAGATCCATGTGGATGGGTGGGGGTGCATGGCACCTGCAACTTGGGAAATACTACAGATAAGTATGTTGATATCTTTTGAAACTTGGCTATGTAATTTGAGGTGGCACCCGCATTCAGAAAAGAGGAATAGGTCCAGAGGTTGGGAGTGACCTTAAATGTTACTTTGGCAAGGAGCAAAATTTGAACCATTCATGCTCCTATTTTTGTTTGTCAATGCTTTCTCCTCTTATATTTTTTTTATAATCGTGGCGTTCAAGCAAGCACACAGACACCTTGATTAATTTCACGTGATACCTGCTACCTCTCACCAGTAATAGGCATCGGTAACTCTGTCCGCTAAAGTTGGGACAGATGGAAAGAAATCACCTAGTGTTTTTGCCCATTTGAACCAAAGACCTCATGGTTCTTAACCCACTTCATTAACCAAAAGAAGATTTCCTCCTCATATATTTTCCTTTACCTCTTTTCTCTTTTATCATTTTGTTCCTTTTCTTATAATGTTCTATGTCCAGGCTTCCTACTTCTCTTTCTATTTGTTTTTTCATATTTCCCTTTATCTTCTCATATTCTACTTCCTATGACAGTAACCTTGGAGAAATAAACACACAGAAAAGGACCTAAAACACATGAAACCTCATAAACTGAAGCGCCAACTACTAACCAAATTAGAATTTCCATCTTTCAAGTCCGAAAAACTATTGACCTTTTGAAAACTTTAATTGATCAAACTATTGATCCATTTCTTTCGTTTATTAGATTCAAAATTTTGTGGTTTGTTATGGTGTTCAATTCAATTTAGAATTTTAGGCGTTTAAATCATGATGAGAATGTTGTATGCATCAGCAGATAATATGAATTTACTTAGATTTGTTTCTAAGGACTTTAGTTTGTAATAGTGTATTTTGTTTGAATTTAATCCTATTTCATTCCAGGGAATCATAAGCATTTTAAACTAACATCTGATCAGAATACGTAGTGGGCTTTGTGTTGCATTTTCAATCAATTATCTAATAAGACGAGCCAACTTACGAGCACCTCAACTATTCCACCAAGTACCGCTCACTTCCCACCAGCACGAGTAATGCTTAATCAGATGGGAAGAAGAAGAAATCACCTAGTGCTTTTGCCTCCGCTGGTATTTGAAAACTTTTGGTATCTATGGACCAGCTATTAAATCAATCCGAATTAACCCAAAATGGATCAAACCGAACCAATTATACTCTCCTTCTCAGCTATAAACACACAGCTTAAAAAGGAAAAGAGGGAGAAAGAGAGCACTTGCCATCATCATTTGAAGTAGCAGAACCAAAATTGCTGCCAGGAGAAGGTGATTCTGCAGGTCTTAAAAACGACCTAGGCAAAGCCATCTCATCATCCTCATCCTCATCCTCATCCTCGTCGTTTCCTTCGTCTCCATCCTCAGACTCTTTGGAATCGTCGACCAATTGATCAAAACCTAGGTTTATTACCTCTTCACGTTCACTGTTACTTTCAGCTTTGCCTGAGGGATCCGGAGGTGTTTCGTACTCTTCATCACGGTCGAAGAAGTGTACAGAAGTCATCTCAGCAAAGCTCACTCTTCGTGCTCGCTTCTTCTGCATCGCCATGGTGGTGCCGCCCTCCGAGTTCTCCGTATTGTTGTTATTGTTGTGGTTCTGATGGCGGTCCTCGCTAGTGCCACCGGCGGCGACGGTCGTCGGCGCTGCCGGGGAAGACATTTCAAAATTTTGAATTAATCGGAAATTTATTGCAGATTAGGGCTCGTTCTGCTCGCTGTACTACACTCAGTGGAGCCAAATGAGTGAATTTTTTGTGCGGGAAAGGCGAAATGTTTTTCGGTTTAAAATACTCACTTTTATATATATGACTTCTAGATTTATCCTTATGTAACTTCTGCCTTTTTTGGGGTCCAATTTTGACTTCCGCTAAACGCACTTAACAGTAATGTACTTATTATTATTTTTAGAAAAAGCGCAAAATAGTCCATTATCTTTGGACTTAAGTTTAAAACTATCCATGCTCTTTCTCATGGTGCAGTAATAGTCCATATTCTTCAAAAAATGATACACTTTTGGTCCTCTCCCAAACATTTTGTTACTTTTTTAAGGTGAAAGTTACCGACTACACGCGGGCTCCTGATCAAGAGGAAAGATATTGATCTCAAATTACTACGGAAAGGATGCATTTCAAATTGTCCATTTGGATACCAATTTTAAAGTAATATGTCAAGGGAAGTCCACCAGATCTTCACTGCTAGAAAGTATTGTTTTGTAATCGTATTTGATTGTAAACAAAAAGTAATTAGTTTCTGCACATACAGTCCTATTCAAGCGTGGAATAATCATATAAACATACCAAATCCGCATGCCTACTAAGTATCGAAACTCCAAAAAGCAGGAAAAAATGAAAAAACTAGAGATGAAATCAAATTGACTTAAACAAGAATGGAGAAGAAGAGTCTCAAACGAGAAGCCCTTCTCTGTTAAAAATATACCAGTTTGGTGATAGACCGAAAGTGTGCCATTTTTTCAAAAAATGTGGACTATTACAGCACCATGTGGAAGATCATGGATGATTTTGAACATAAGTCTAAAGATAGTTGACTATTTTGAGCTTTTTCTCTAAAAAAAATCGCAGAAAATCTTTTTCATCTTTTTGAACCAAATGCCACCATATATCTCATATTTAGACCAACTGATGTATACTCTATAGATGGACTTGTTTTCACTAGTTAAACAACGCATCACATACAGAAAAAAATTTAGAATGGTCATCAGTAGATCTCGGAACTTTACATTTTGTTTCACAGGCAAACAACTTAGTAAGAATACAGGTTCAAGTCATAAGAGAAAGTGAATACAGTCAAGTAAGTCATCTGCCTCTCGGAATAATTGGGTCTCTCCGAGTTGAAACAACAGACGCAATTGTGCTTTCCCACAGGTCTGCCAGGAGCATACTGAAACTAGTAACACTCCATGTAAAGATGAATCAGCGTTAATACTTAGCTCCTGATTGTGGCAAGATTCACCCATATAATGCACGCCAAGGCTCTTGAGTTTCTCTCAAAGACTTGGTTGCATCCCATGCTATCTTTTCTGCTGAGAAATTAAGAGATGAGAAGCTAGCCAAATGCTGTCCTATCTCATGTATCACCTGGAAGTTAGAAAGTGAGATACGATGTATTAATATATTTTATATGTTTTTCATCCTTTTCTTGGATAAGTGCAC